GGGGAACAAGTACCGCAATAAAGAATCTCATCTACTCAAATCCGCCTCTGGGTCAGCCTGCTCCTTCTTCTAACACAGGTTACTTGAAGAAATGTTCTGAGATCCCATTTATAGAAAATGCTATGAAAAAAATCAGTTACTGTGCTAGTGGATGAAAAAAAGAGTGCTGAATTCTGCAGTGCAATATGGGACACCGTGAGAATCTTTTTTTTTCTAAAGAACTGGCATGAAATCTCTGCTACTTTGCACAGTCTATGGTGTGAGTTCTCACAACTTGTGCAGGTTTGTGACACTTCATAGCTGATGTCCTTTAAACAGTCCCAGAAAATAGAATTAATGTAATCCTTTCACCAAGTGATCCTCTCACCATGCTTATTAACTTTTTTCCTATCTGATTTTTGCATTTTTACTTTCAGGGAGTATTGACTGAGTTCTGCCTGTAAAGCAGTCAGCTTACACTGCATTTGTTTCATGTGCAGAAAGGAAATGAAATAACTGCATATGATAATTAAGTCATCAACTGCTTTCAATACTTACCATACCCTACCATACTTCAGTAATCATACTGTTCTAACATATCACATTTTTCTGATTCATCACTGGTGGCCCCTCATGTCGTTACTGATTGAATACTACGAATAATTCCAACATATAGTGTTTTACACAATGAAGTATTACACAGTGAAGTATTTGTTCATTCAGACTCCAAGAGGGTGAGTTTGTTTTCAAAATTACCTACAAAACCCACATGTGAGTACACAACTTCACAGGGAATTATAGAAAATTTGTCCATTATGTTTATCAAATTATTTTTCCATTCCCAAAGAGAAAAGTGTATATTTAAAGATTATTTATTGCCAAAAATACTGCAAACAATTCTGGTCATTCATGTTCAAGAAACATGAATTCAAACTGGAACAAGTGCAAAGAAGGTCTACTGGAATGATCAGGGGAACAGAGAGCCTAAAAGAACTTGGATTGTTTAGCTTTCCAAAACAAAGGCCGACGGGATATGATTGCACTCTATAAACACATCAGGAAGTAAATATAAGGGAGGGAGAAGAGCTAGTTAAGTTAAAGGACAATGTTGGCACAAGAATAAATGGTATAAACAGGCTATGAACAAATTTAGGTTGGAAATCAGAAGAAGGTTTTTAATCATCAAAGGAGTGAGGTTCTGAAACACCCTCCCAACAGGAATAATGGAGGCAAACCGCCTAACTAATTTTAAGATGGTACTTAATAAATTTATTAACAGGATTAATATAACAGTGATAAGAGGGTATTGGATTCAATGACCCAGGAGGTTCCTTCCAGTCTTATGTCCTATGTCATATCATCAGTGCAGTAGATAAACAAAGACAATGTATCTGCCCTGAAAGAACTTACAATCAAAAAGAGAGAAAAAACAGGATGAACCAGGAAGTGTAAAGATGGGGACGGCATAGGCACCAATACTTCAACTGCATACTCATAGATGGACTCCTGAACCCACATGGGGTGACTTCAGCAGGTTCTGCAAGGCCATAGAGGTCCACCCACATAGATCCAGTTGCAAGACTAGAACCTTAGGGCTAGCTCCACAAAGGAGACTTAAATAAACAGCATTTCAACGCTGAATCTAGGTGCTCTTCTGCCTAGTAGAATGCACAGCCCCAAGTTAGACTCCTAGGCTCACTATACAATGCATGGGGAGAGTTAGGCACCTAACAATGGGATTCATAAAAGCCGCCAGGCTGAACAGGAAGCCACCTAAACTAGCCAGCAGAAAATGCCAAGGAGAGGGGTAACAGGGCCATGAGCAACCAGACCTAGTAGTTGGAGTGAGAGTCTACAGTCATGAGACAGGAGTTAAGATTCTTCTGGGTAAGGATACCAGGAGGCCAGAAGCAGCAGACAAACTAGAGATCAAAATCACAAGTCAGATGCCTGGAAATCAGGGTGGGGGCACAGGCAGGGCAGAGTGAGCCCAGTTGTTTGAACAGCTTCCTGTTCCTGCTGCTGGCTTAAGTAGGGCCAGTGGGCCAATCGCCCACTCTGGAACTCCACCTGTTGGACCTCAGGGATGGACCCTCACACTGGGTCCTAGGTAAACAATTGCCAGCGGCCTGCCAGATGGAGGATTGGAATGTGGCCTCTCACATAAATCCTGTTGGCCTGGGTTTGAGACCTGTGGATCATTACAAGAGGTTGTCCCTCAAAGGGATTTAGGCACCCTAAATCTGGGCTGGAGAGAGGCACCTATCTTTGCTCAGGATTCACAGCTACGAGCCCTCTCTTGGAGTTAGGTGCCTAAAATCAGGTCAATCCTTTCTCAAGATAAGTGGTGGTGATGGTACTACCACTGCCCTTATACTCTATAGATAAGGATAAGGCTTTGCCATGGACGTCACAGATTCCATGCCTTTCAGAGACCTCTGTGGCAGCTTCAGCCCTGGTAGTGGCAGGACTGTAGATATCAGCCAGCAGGGGCCCCAAGCCACCGGATACCACCGGCCCTGGGGTCCCCGCAGCTCTTGGGCTATGGCAGCAGCGGGTGCTGAAGCCCCCCCGCCCTCCACAGTGGGGCTTGGGCTCTTATTCTCCCCCCCAGGCCACCCTACCCTACCCGTGGGTCTTGGACTTCAGTTCTCTCCCTATCAGTCCCACACACACACACATTATTTTTAGTAAAAGTCACAGACAGGTTGTGGGCTTCTGTAAATTTTTGTTTATTGCCCACAACCTGTCAGTTATTTCTACTAAAAATAACCAAGACAAAATCTTACCTTACTTATAGCTCCATGGCTAGAGCGATCACCCCAGATGTGAGAGACCCAGGTTCAAATCCCCACTCTGCCTGATTTGGAGCAGGGATTAGAACCCAGATTACTTATCTCCCCAGTGACTACCCTAGACAATAGGGTATTCTGGCATCAATCTTTCCTGTTCAATCTTTTGCATTTTGTACAAAATATTTAAAGCCACTGTGCTTTAAAGCCATTCCCACTCACACTCACTCTCTGGCTCAATGAATATTTAAGCATTCACACTGAAGCCTTCGGAGGAGGGTGGGCTTCAGAGCCCATTTTAAAGTGCTGTCTACACAGCTATTTTTAGAGTGCTAGTACAAGCCTGCTTGCCCAGCGCTATCAGGGCTGCCCGGCGGGGGGGGCGGGGCAAGTGGGGCAATTTGCCCCAGGCCCCGGGCCCCACAACGGCCCCCACGAGAGTTTTCAGGGGCACTTTGGCAGCGGGGGGGTCCTTCAGTGCCGCTGAACACACCCAGAGTGAAGGACCCGCCGCCACTTCTTCCGCTCCGGGTCTTCAGCGGCAGTTTGGCGGCAGGGGTCCTTCCGCTCCATCTCTTTGGCGAAGTGCCCTGAAGACCTGGAGCGGAAGGACCCCCGCTGCCCAAGACCCCAGGCCCCCTGAATCCCCTGGGCATCCCGGACCTCTATCATCCCGGGCTGGGAGCTTCACTGCTGCAGGCTGTGTAGACATACCCTAACTCCTATCCCTGATTCCTCATCCCACCACTTCCTTTACATAGTAAAATAATCAAATCCTACAACACCCCCAGTTTTTCAGCATTCATTAATTCTTTAACAGTCTGGCTCAGCGTTTCCTTCTCAAGCCTATTCTGTCTACACAAAGGTCATACTTGAACACAAATTATGCATTGGCAGACTATAATCATCTGTGAAATACTGATATTTTTTGCATGAATGCCCGTACAAAAATTATATTGTAATGTCTTTATATCCTCAAGAAGTTCTTAATTCACATATCAATCATCTAACTCACCTTAATAGCTCATTTAGACCATTTCATTGTATCCAGTCCATACTTCTAGATATCATTAATATACTCTGAAAGTTGTTATAGTTCACAGTGAGTTCTCAGTCTGAATATATGAGCATGTCCACATTCCCTTAAAAATAGGGAAAGTAGCTATGGTGCATTAGGTGCATTATTCTTTAAATAAATATTGTAGCCAATTTATTTTTGATTCATGAATGCTGTAATACCTGGAACCATAAACTGTGGTTAAATAAAATTGTCTTTGCTTTATTTACGGCACAGCCACATAGTAATGGAGAACTCAGCTCTCTGTGCCATGGTTAATAGCAGTACAGCAACACTTTTAAGTGGCCTTTGTGCTATGTACGTGGAGTATACCTTAGAGGCATTCAACAGAGTATCATTTTTCAAAAGCTGCAGTTGAACACAGTAACAAATGTATTACAGTTCTCATTCTGCACTGAGATTACCATGGGCACAGGTATCTGCACCTAAATGTGTTCGTTTCTTGCCAAACATCATTTCATATAATAATAATACTGGTTTTAATTTTCAGAAACATTATCCAGCATTTGAAACCTGCAAACTACTAATTTTTTTTTTTTAGATTACTGCATTTAAAAAAACATAGCACTCACTCCACCAATCCCTAGATTTTTTTAGTTCTATCACTAACTTTTTGCAGACTAGGGTTTATGAAGAAGATCTTTTAGACCCTTAATTATAACTGCATCCTCAAAAATTTATGAAAGGTTCAAAGTAGTGAACAGATTTTTTTATTATTATAATAAATGGCAGTTTAACACATATTTTGTCACTATCCCAATTTGGGAGGCCAACAGTCAAATTTCCTTCAAGTGCTTAATCAACCAGTGAGATACTTTTCACACACTATTAGAAAATAAAACTATGACATAGTGCCTTAAAAAATGTCTATAGTCATTTTCTCCCTGAGAGCTATACCAGTACTTTACAGTAGAGTGCTTTCTGAAAAAGATTGTTTGGCTTCGACAAAGACCAGGAAAGTTTGATCAATAAATACATCTTCACTGATCTTTATTTTTTTTCAATCCACTGCTCAGCCTTATTTAATACTTCAATTTCCAGTGTTGCACAATAAGGCCATGTAATATATTCTAATTTAGGCCACCTCAGTGCTCAACTAGACACATTTCATTTGTTACTGTGCAAATTATTGTTGAATTGTATCCACTTACCTGGTTTGCTTCCGTTTGGTTTACACTGCACTTCCTCAACACAGTCTGCGGGAAACCATCCAACAAGTCCTCGGGTGCTGCCTTCCCAGAATCCACCTTCACCAATGCTTAAAACTAAATAGAAAAGAGAAAGACAAATGGAACATTAACTTTTTCACCATTTTTCCTCTGGAATAAACTTAAATTCTAAGATTATTTAGACAATGGCACACCCATGAAAATGAACATAGCACAATAAGCCAATTTCTGCTTCCCAAAACATCCGCACAGAATCACCTGCATAGGTGATTCTCAGGTATTACTACTGGGGATGGAAGAAGGGAGCCTACTGTTGAAACAGAGCTTAAGGTGCACATATGACTCCCAAGGCCCCACCACGATCCTTTAAATATACTACTGTATTTCTGCAATACTGATGTTATAAATCATAAATCTCAGCAACAGGAAAGAATGAGAACTGAAGATGCTAAACCAATAACAGGCTCAGATTCTTGGTAAACTGGGTCTCAGAATTTATTTTTTTAATTACTCATAAATGTTATACTTCCTAAGGAAAAAGGAGATAGTATTTACATTATATAGTAATGAGTTCTTTAAGATGCATAGTCTCTATGGATGCACCACGTCAGGATAGTCTCTTGATTGGAGATTTTTGTCAGCAGTGTCCACAGGTCCAAACCTGTGCCCTACACATCCCTGAGCTCCAATGTGAGGGTAAATAGGGAAGGGCAAACTTGCTGCTACTCCAGTTCCTTCTGAACCTTAAATTCCAGAGTCAAAGATTCCAAAGCAAAGGGGAAGGAGAGTGGGTAGTGGAGCACCCTTAAGGACAACACACCTCAAAGAACGCCAGTTACTGTACAAGGGAAGTAAACTCTCCTTCTTTGAGTAATTGTCCCTATGGGTGCTCCACGTTAGGAGATTTCCGAGCAGTACCTCAAATACAGACGAGGGTGTTGAGGATATTAATTCAGTGCAGCTTTGCCAATGTTCAAGATAGGTACACTCTTGGATAAAACTATGGAGGTAAGTTAAGTGGTGAAGTGGCCATTTGTACTAGGTGGGTGACAACCCACCAGAGGTCTCATAACTTGCCAGGATGCATCCCGACATCCCATTTTGATACACTTTTGGAGGACACTGGATGCCTTTTCATTCTTTCCACAAAATAATTAGTCTGGGAGAAGCCCTAAAGGGTTTAGTCCTATCAAGGTAGAATCAGAGTATGGAGACTGGCTTCCTTTCCTAAGAAGTTTGGGGTAAAAAATTGGTAGTTGAATGTCCTGACTGATTTGGAAATCTGATAAGATCTTAGGTAGGAAGTGAGAATGGGGATGTGAAGTCACCTTAACCCAATAGAACACAATGTATGGTGAATCAGCCATTAGCATTCCTAGTTCTCCTACCCATCTGGCCGAAGTGATGGTTATGCGGAATGAGGTCTTGAAGCACAAATGAAGAAAGTAACAGGTCCCCAAAAAGTTCCTCGAGGCACTGAGGACTAAGCTGAGGTCCCCAAGTGGAGTAGGTTCTTTGAGATGTGGAAACAGGTTGAACAGAATGAATCTTGCAGCAGTAGGGTGAGTGACAACTCACCCTCAATCGGACAGTGGAACACTGTAATGGCAGCTAAGTGAACCTTAACTGAGGTCAGTGATAGAGCCATGATTTTTAAATTTAGCATGTAATTGAAAATATGTGTGAGGAGAGACTCAAGAGGAGATTATGGACTATTGGACAAATCAGCCTCAGAAACTATTCCACTTCTCTAGACGAGTTTTCCTTGTGGCAGGTTTTCAGCTTTCCAGCAGCATTATTTGGACCTTTAGACACCAATCTCCTTCTATGTCAGAGTGTTGTCAAGGAGCCAGCCCTTTAGGTGGAGAGACAAGATGTTGGGGTGAGTCTTGGTGCCGGATTCCTGGGTCAGGAGGTCTGCTGTCAGAGGAAGGCAAACAGCCCATCGCAGGAATTTGTTGGCCAAACCTATGTTGGCCATGACAGTGTTCTAAGGATGGACACTCATCTCTCATTTCAGCTTGTTCAGGAACTTAAGGAGCAATGGCACTAGGGACTAAGCACACAGCCAGACACAAGGCCAAGAGGAGCATCTCCCCGTGACTTGGAAGCATGCCCTCCCCTCAAGCAGAAGTGCCGGCACTTTCTATTGAACAGTATCACAAAGAGATCTACCTTTGAGGAGCCCCTGGTGAGACAAATTTCCTGAAATACTGCATTGTTCAGATGCCAGACGTGGTCTTCAAGGAAAACCCTGCTCAGGGAGTCAGCTGCAGTGTTCTGTAACCTCTGTAGGTGAACCTTTGAGATTTCTATGATGTGAGATATGCACTAATTCCACTGAGGCAAGGTGGTCATAGGGGGTGTGTGTACTGCTGGGAAGGGAGACCCAGAGTGTGGGGCTACTGCTGGGGGAAGAACCGGGGGTAAGGGGCACCGGGGTCCAGGAGGGACATGGGCCTGAGGCAGGCAAGATACCGGCCAGCAGAGGACTCTCTAAGAGCTGGAATTGAGCTAATTCCCGAGGCAACCAGCAGGACGTGCGGCGCTGGTGAGCGTCGAGCTGCTACATGTGCAAATGAAGGTGGACATCAGAGAAAACCTGTCCGTAGGCAAGTACTTTATGGCAAGTGTGGATTCCAGAGTGGCTCCAACAGATTCTATTCATTGTACAGGTGTGAAAGGAGATTGCTCTGTGCTGAGTTGGAGGCCCAGAGTGTGGAACAGGGATAGAGCCTTGTTGGTTGTGAACTATACCTTGAGAAAGGAGCAAGATCCAGTTGCTGAGACAGGGGAAAACAATTATTCCCATCTGATGAAGACGGACTGCAATGGCTGATAGGACTTTTGTCAGGATCCTCAGGTCAGTGGAAAGGGCAAAGGTCAGGACATGGATAGTGGTCTTTGCCAATGATTAATCATGGGATTAATCATGTATCTGTAGAAAGGCTGCATAGCTATATGAAAATATGCATCCTGGAGGTCAAGGGCAATGAACCAGTCCCCTAGATCCCAAAATGGAATTATCGCTGCCAAGGTTACCATCCTGAACCACTGACTGTGGACAAAGATGTTTAAAATCCTGAGATCCAGAATCGGTCTCCATCCTCCTTTTCTCTTGGGAACCATAAATTAGAACCCTTTTCCAATGAAGTACAGGAGAGAATGCAACTCCTGATGTAAGAGACCCTTGTGAGAAGGGTCCCAGAAGAGGAGTGTAGAAGGGGTGTAAGAGGGAGGGATGGAGCTGAACTGGATGGAATTGAAACTACCTCTAGGTTTCATCTGTCAGAGGTGATGAGCTCCCAGGAAGGAGAAAATGGGAGAGGCAGACTCCATAATGTTGATGAAGGATGGATTGGTGCATCAAAGGATCTGGGTTGGTGTGACCCTCAACCAATGCATCAAAAACGGTCACTTAGAAGAAGCCATTGACTGATGTCACTGTGGAGGTTGGCCCCTTCTTAGGAAATCTGACCTGTTTCTGGGTGGTTCAGTCTATTTCATGGAGGTTTGGTAGTGGACAGAGGGAGACTGTTTGTGAGCTGTTTGTGACTGACTGTATTTTCTCTTTGTTGCAGGTATATAGATGCCAAGAAATTGCAAAATTGCCCTGTCTTTGAGAGAGTGGAGGGATCAATCCGTGACAACACTGAAGAGCTTAACCTTTCAAACGGAAGATCCTCCATGGTATTCTGTACTTCCCTAGGCAGGCCAGAGAATTGTAGCCACTACACAACACAGCACATGACTACAGCAGTTGCTATAGAACTCAAAACTCTGTCCTCTGCATCAAGTGAAGCCTGAAAGAAAGTCTAAGTGATCATCTGGGCTTCTCATCTGGTGATGAGAGCTTGAAATGTCTCCCTCCACTCTTGAGACAAGTGATCAACAAAATGAGAGAATTTCAAGTAATTTGTGAAGTCATATTTCACCATCAAGGCCTGATAGTTAATAACTGGGAATTGTAGAGTGGCTGAAGAATAATTCTTACAACTGAGAAAGTCCAGGCGCCTAAGCTCCTTGTTGGAGAGGGCTGATCTAGACCAATACTGTCCATTTCTTTTGTTGACAGAATTGATGACCGAAGAGTTAAGGTTAGCCTGTTTGGAAGTAGGTGGGATGGTCGCTGGTGTTTGCCACACCGTGTTGGCTAGTGACAATAAGGCATCATTGATAGATAATGCAATCGTGACTTGAGGAGTGATCTGGAGGATGTCCAGCAAGGAATGTTGAGGTTCTTGCATTTCCTCCGAGAGAATCTGCAAGGGCTCTGCAATTCTGAATGGCCTTGAAGTCATCTGTGCAGGATGGCAAGGTGCACATAACTGCCTCATCTGGTGAGAAGGTGGATTTATTGGATGGTAGTGACTCCCCTACGCCTAGCTCTTGCTCTTCTAGAGGTTCCTCCTGAGGAAGAGGGTCAAGAACCATCAGTGGCTATTGGTCTGGAAGGGTCCTCTTACACAGCAGTATCGTTTAGAACTGTTTGCCATAGGTGACTCAAGGATTCCAGAAACCCAATTCCAATGGGGCATAACCAAAAGGGATAGGACCCAAGGGTGCTCCTGCCAGGGCTGATGAATCAGATGTATACTGCGGGGGGTCCCATTCTCAGGATGGTATCTCAAGGGAGGAAGGCTGGAAGAGGAAGGTGATGGAATCCTGGACGGATGCAAGGAAACATCCTTTCCTATGTCTAGTGAAGGAGCTACAGATGTCAGTACCAGAGGCTGAGGAGAGAGTGGTAACCACTTTGGTATTGGGGGTTGAGTCTTCATGAGATGGTGTGGTAGCACCAGAGAATAGGCTGGCTCCAAAGCGAATGTTGGTACCTACAGGAAAACTTTCAGCAGAGGGAATTCATATTTTTCCAGGATATGAAGATCTGCATGGGAGAGGAATCAGAATGATGCTGGTGACTCTGGGTACTGTTCCTTGGGATTAAGCATGTTGAGCAATACTGGGGATGGTAGTGATGAGCGATCTGTGCACTCCTTGCCGTGACACTATGAGGACAGCACAGAGATGATTCAAGTCCTTGTTTTTCAAAGAGTCCATGCATTTTGAAGAATCCAATTCCAGTATCAACACTG